TGCACAGCCGATTGCGAAATCGCTGGCATCACAGACCACATGAAATGGCCTGTCCTGATCGGCTATTGCTAGGACTGGGGATTGTATCAAGCTCTGCTTGATACCCTCAAAGGAGCGTTGACATTCAGCGTTCCATAACCACCTCTCGTTCTTTTTCAACAAACGAGAGAGGTGTACAGTCATCTCGGCGTAATTGCGTGAATACTTATGCAAATACGCCGCTAGCCCAAGGAATTTTCGAAGACCTTTGACATCGACCGGCACGGGCCAGTCGGTGATCGCCTTGATCTTTTCGGGATCAGGACGTACACCGTTCTTACCAACGATGCACCCAAGAAGTGGTATTTCGCTTGCTGCAAATATACACTTCTTGAGGTTTGCATACAATTGATGCTTTCGCATGATTGTAAGAACTTGTCGGACGTGGTACTTGTGAACCTCAACGTCCGACTTTCCATCCATAGCTCGACTATGGATGAATACGTCATCGAAATAACTCGGCGCGAATTCTCGTACTGGCCTCAACAGATGTGATACACACCTGTTGAACGTGGCAGGGGCATTACTGAGCCCTTGTGGCATTACTAGCCATTCCCAGAGCATGCCGCTAGGCGTGCTAACTGCGGTATAGGGTATATCCCGTTCCCGCATTAGGATTTGATAGAAGCCATCCATCAAATCCATGGACGAAAAGATGGTACTCTTTGACATACCATCAATGATTACGTCCTTCCTCGGTATCGGCGTCTGAGCCGGTACCGTTGCAGCGTTCAATTTGTTAAACGCGTGCACTATCCGCCACCCTCCTGTTGCTTTTCGCACACAGAAGGTCGGAGAGCTATGTGGGGAAGTTGATTCCCTCACATGGCCCGCTGCTAAACGATCGGCAAAGAACTTGTCGATCGCAAGTACTTGTTCACGAGGCAGTGGCCACTGCTTCATGACACAGTACTTCGAGCCTGGTTTAAGCTCGACTTCGTGTCGAATACCTTTATCCTTCGGTAATTCGCACGGAACAGTTTCAGGGAATACATCCTTGAATTCAACCAAATCTTCATAGAGAGGATTTTCCTTGAGCGATTCCCATGATTGGGACTCATATCGCTCAATTCGTGTCTTTTCATCTAGGGCACTCTCGTCCATAGATGAACTACTGAGAACTCTCTCGTTCTCAGTAAACACTGTTGCTGACCTTATGTCGGTTACATACTCGTCTTCAGCGACGAGTATGCAGATCTGCTTGACTTTGCCACTACGCAGATCACGCAAGAATCTTTTATGTTCGAGCGTTGGCAACTGAGTGATCTCCGAAGTTAACTTCGGAGGCGCAATCAGATCAAGTGTATAAGCGCCTACACATGATCCGTTATTGACTATGACATTCAATGTCTCTGTCATTTCCTGGGGACTTATTCCCTCAGGCTTCGAAGGACTTATTCCTTCGTCTTCCCGGGGACTTATTCCCGCGGGTTTCGGGGAACTTATTTCCGCCGTATTTGTAATCTTGGGACTTATTCCCTTTACTTCCTCTAGCTGGGGTTGCGCAACCACAGCGAGATCCTCTACGAAAGACTCTCCAGTCGATCTAGGATTATCGTTTCGCTTAACCTGAGCGATCGATTGTTTCTCTTCTAGATGTTCCCCTCTAGGGATACATCTTTGTCCCAGTCCACCCGACTTATTCGAGTGGTGGACCTTCGGCGCAGCCTGTGTTTCCTCACAGCCGCCGGAACTTTGCTCCGAAGTGTAACCGTTTGGTACACTAAGGTTTTGTGCAGTCGTACTAACGACCGTACCACAAGTGAGGCCATCGCACTCACTCGTAGTACATCCACACGCTTGTGGACGCTCCAAAACGTTCATCAGATGGCCATCTGATGAACAAGCGGCAGGCATCGTTACTGTCCGATGTTGCCAGTTTACCCGTGGTTCGTACCTTCTGAGCCACGGTATTCCAAGGATGACATCAAATTTGTCATCCAAATCCAATACGATAAAGTCATCGTCGTATTGGGTATCTTCTAGCGTATAGTGAATCTTCACTATACGCTTCATGACGGTTACGGATGCGCCTGTCGCAAGACGTACCGTCATCCTCGTAGGAGGTGTGTCACATTCACTGAATTTAAAGTGACCATCTTCTAGCGATTGGCGTCGCACAAAAATTGTTGGACGCCCCACAATCGACTAGAGCTCGAAGGGACAACTTATTCGTCACTTCGAGTTTCAAGGTAATGAGTGAGATCTCATTACCTAGAGCAGCAACGCACAATGTCTGTGTGTTGGGAGCAACCTTCATCAAGAGGCCTACAAATTCTCTTGACGTTGCTGGATCAGTAGGGTGCTCCGCACCTACTGATCCTGTCCGTTTTTTGACGGTCCATCCCGTTGTTGCGTCTTTGCACCAACTGCGGACCCTCGTCCCTGCCCCTTTCTCATGGGTGGACGGTCACTACGCCCAGTGTCGCGAGACACTGGACGAGGGGCACTACACTCGTAAGCGTAGTGTCCTGTCTTTTGACATCTGTTGCATCTCTGCAACTTCTTGTAGCCTGTAGAGCGAGCCTTCTCGCTCTCTACATAACAGAGTTCCATCGGCTCTGGACCTCCGTTGTCATATCGTCTCGGTTGACGATATGATGTCGAGCTGGCGCGAGCCTGTCTCAGACTGAAGTCTTCCTGCTCCGCAATGGAAATGGCTTGTTCTAGTGAATCTAGTTCAAGCCGGAACAGGTGAGTCTTGACGGGACCATCCGCAAGACCCTGCATGAACACCGAAACCAACGTGTGTTCATCCACCGGATTGGAACTTATACAACTCGTGAGATGTCGTATATGTTGAGCGTAAGCGTGCACATCACGCTTACCCTGCTTGAGCTTCAAGAGTTCGGTTCGAGCTCTGAACTCAGCTCTAGGCGGTTCAAACGTTTGTCTGAGCCGCGACTTGAAGACTTCCAACGACCCAAACGCATATGGGTCGTGCAGCTTGAGCCCCAGTGCCCAAGTCTTGGCACGTCCTGCCAGATTTGACTGGGCAAATGCAACTTGCATATCCCCGTCGTCGATGCGACGCGCCCTTATGGCGTCATCCAATTCGACGAACCATCTCAAGAGGGAGTCTTCTTCGACCCCCTATACTTTGAGATGTCAATCTTCAAAGTCTCGGGCCGACGCGAGTGCATCGACCCGCCAGCAGCAGCCTGCTGCTGTCTCAACAGTTCAAACTGTTGAGCACCTTGTTCTCTCAACAACTCTGCTTGTTGAGAACCTTGTTGGTGAAGCAAGGCTACTTTCTCGCGTTCTGCGTCAAGTTCATTTTGAATGAACTTGGCGATAGTAGCATGTTGGGCATCTCTATTGAGAGCCTCTAGCATGACGCTAACAGCATGGATGCCCATGGTCGAACCCATTCGTTCAACCGCATCCCATTCGACATCGCTCAAATGGGAGTAGCCGTCACGCGTAGCGTGAAAGCTTTGGTCATCTTCATCATCCAACATATTCATGTTGGATGTGAACGCGGTCCTTGGACGGACTACGAAGTGCTACCAGGTGTAACGGGGCACCCTGAAGCTTGTACTGGTGACAGTACAAGCTACTTATTCTGATAACAGAATAAGGCGGTGCCTCGTAACTTCACGTACACTCGTACGTGCAGAGGAAGACGGTAAGAAGAAGCGAGTACTCGGTTAGAGTAAAAGTAGAACTGTATTTAGTAATAGTTAATGTCTGCAATAAATCACTATTTATCTTCATCTAACTATGTCTAAATACAAATGTGTAAATCAGTTATCTGCTCACCACTCATTGCGTGCGTCTGTCGTGGCGCGTCTTCGTTGGTTGATATAATGGCCTATATCAACCAATTAGGAACTACTTGGAAGTGCTACAGAATATTGTCCTTATGACAATATTCTGAGAATATAACTCTTATAGTTATATTCTATTAACAATTTCTTATAAATTGTTATGTAACGATTCACCCCGTTACAACTACGATCTTGGGACCCTCACTTGGTCTTGAAACGTCTGACCTGTTCTCCATACTATGATAAGTGCCTCAGCACCACATGTGTGTGCAACCGGGTCTACCATCTGGTCGTTACTCCGCCATTTGACTTTCTCTCATCATCGACATTTCACCCATTCCTCACTTGTACCGACTTGATGACTCTATCTTGACTTCTGCCGGAGGTCCCTTCATTTGTCATGTTGGCGTATGCTTACTGGGTATCATCAAGGCTTTACCATACAAAAGTCTTCAAATGGTTTGCACAGACTTCTGCCATTCTCGGAACGCAGAGAGTAGCCATTTGCTTTGAACACAGGCAGAGGCCTCGTTGCCCGTCTTTTATCGTTGTGTCTCTTGGTTGCATGACATCGACCGCATCGAAACAAACTCGTGTAGCCGTTGCATTATATTGAAGTCACATACGGCCTGATTAAGCGTCAAATGGATGTCTGTCACCACGAGGGCTGTGCTAGCATACGTTGACATGCCGCAGGCTCGACCTGTCCATCGCATCTGGCTAGTTACAGAAAACTTTTCGACTAAAATAAACGTGCAACGACTCTGCAGTAGGGAACTTGCAATCTATTGTTCACCTCCAATTTTGCTGATGCATCCTCCGCAATGTATTCACCAATTTGTAGCACTGGCAACAAAGCGTCAGCTATGGAGCTACTCAGATTTTAGGACGTTCGTCAATGCACACTGTTGTCAATTGGTAGACAGAGATCCCAGACCCTTCTACAGGCTTGCTCAACGACAGAGGTGGGTGCCTGAATAGTCGAATGTCGAAGTGTACGGCAATGGAGATAGCACGTATCAGTGCAATCACAACATTTGTGGCTCTCGTGTGCAGGTGATTCTCAAAGGAGAACGTCACGAATTGTGCAAATGAGCGCGGCTGCGTGATTGCTTACTGCGTATTTGGATAACAAAAACTCGTCTCTACTGACACTGTTAACAACGACTTCTAGCGTTCACCCGAGGTCGATCATATCATTACTGGCTGCGGATCTTCTTCCATCATTGTTCCCCATCCCGACGATATTGAAGACCGGACCGAGTTGTGGCGTCGAAGATCGTTGGGAACGCGACTTTCGGTAAAAGGCAGCTCAGGTATCGACGCGACTGTCGCATCCGTCACACATGACGGGCAAAATGTGACTTTCCGATGAGTCATTTTGAGGTCAAGCGTGACGAAGCTCATGTCTTTGTCGACTTTGCACACATTGCACACGTACTTGAAGCACAATTTGCACGTGCTGTGATGACCCACGAACTTTCCAAGACGGCCCAGCCGCTTCTCGCAAGCTGCACATTTATGGTCAAGACCCCGTGACTTGACGGTTTTCAACTGCGCGTAGCGGTCACCAAGGGCTTGTGTCAACTTCTTCATTTCAACAAAGTGCGCGTACTTGAGAGGAAGCAGCAGCTTCTGGACGAAACGAGGCACGACGACTCGACGAACTCGGTCGGTCATCGCGTCCATCATTCCCAATATATAGACCGAGACCGAGGACTCAGTCTCTTGACGGTAGAAACAGCAAACGGATAGCTTAGCACGCACGCGTCCATCCAAGACATGAGCCTGAGGCAAGTCCACGGAATGCATCAGACGATAGCCGAGTCGTCCACCGTTTGAAAGGACTTTCATGCCCGTAGCTTCAACGTAGACGTAGTCGCGATTCTTGACAAGTCCGATTGACCGACGACGGACATCGAGCTCCATCCAATTGACAGCGATAGACTGAAAAGGGTCGTTCAACGTCGGTTCTTTGGCGATCGAAAGCACTGCTGTCGAGGCACTGCGATCGTCAAGGAACGACGTTTTTGCAGACTCGAGGGTCGGGTTCAAGATGCCAAGCATGACATCATCTAGCGTGCCAGGAGTCGATCCAGAGCACAGGATCGACTGCAACTCGGCATCTCCTTCACCTATCGGTGACTCCTTTGGCCTAGGTCTCCGCTGGTTGTGTCGGCGCTTGGTGTAGACTTTGATCTGGTCTTTGGTCTTGATGAATTTCCACGCCTTCGTATCGACTTTGCCGTCATCGGCATCCGTGAAAACGTGGTATCGCTCCAGATTCGCTTCAAGAATCGCGTCTGCGACCAGCTCGAGTTCCCGAATATCTCGAGGCTTCAGGTCGACAGTTTGCAACGAAGTTGCAGCGGGTTCTCCGTTCGCCATTGTCGCAACGTGGTGAAGTCGAGATAATCCGGAATGAACTTCGGCATTTAGCTGACAACGACTCGTGGAGATAGCCGGAAAATGACGATGCCACACGTGGCCGACGTTTGCAAGACCATGTGGAGAGAAGGCGCCTACGTCAGTGTACGTTTATCGCAGCTGGTCACTCATTGCATTCGATTGCCAGCTGTGGTCTGAAATCACGCGCATGTAATAATACACTGGAACTTTTGCGACCTGATTATTCGCGAAATGCGAGCGACTTGACTGAAGAAGGGCGATGGCTTAGCGGTGCGGTGGATAATGTTTTCAGCAAGGTTAAGGTTCCTGTCAACGTAAATGGGAAGTTGCTACATTGTGATTGAGAGATACGGTAACTGTCAAGCGTAAATGCTGTTGAACATCGCCAGATCGTTCGAGCGAGATAACGATCAACTGCTGTTTCTTGGGACACAATTGGAGTGTTGAGGAACCGGCAAGGCGGAAAGTATGGAGCAACGAGGTTTCTGCCAGTTTGATGCATGTCGAATGTCAGCATCACGAATCGCTCGATGACATTGCGTAGTATAGTCTTCAAACGCACGTAATCAAGTTCTTGGCAGAAAAGGTCAGTGGTGAGGACTTCAACACCAAGCACACCTGCTGTCGCAGCCGTCGTCTATTCCGACATTATGTCTTGGCCTTGTGGCGGCGAAGGGTCTCACAGGTCATGCGGACGACAACTGCGCATTGGCATTTGACTGGATCGAAACGGATGTCATCATTGCAGTGAAAGAAAAGTGGCACTTCCGATGGATATCTCAAGTTCCCTAAAGCTTCTTGTCAGCATTTGTTACAACAAGTGATGCCTTGTAAACCTTTTCTTCTGGTGCTGAGAGTGCCCAACATTTTAATCCGCCACGCTGGCACTGAGCTCATGTATGTAGTAGGGAATGGTCCGTTCGATGTTCTAGCGTACTGCATCTTGATCGACCGCTTCTTACTTTATCCAAAACGCACATTGTTAGCTCGTCCGCAGGTAGTGTTTGTCGAAAGAAAAAGGGACACTAAACGGTATCATTGGTGACTAGTATGCCTGTCCCTGTAAATGAGCCAGGTACGTGTCCCTCTTTACACTGACGTGCGAACGAAAACAAGTCTTTTGTAACATACGCGTCGACTAGTCGTGAGCTCAATAAACGTGCGCTTCTCGTATATACGACGCCTGTCACCAAGTATTGATACCGTGTGGCTTTACCTGTGGGAGACGACGAGTGTGAAAGACCACGCCAATTCAAGTTATAGGTGCATCTAAAAATGAGCTATGCCATCATGACGCTGCTGTGAGGATCGTTGCATCTTCGTGACACTTTCAAAAGAAATGCCATTGACGTTGCGAACCTAATGGCCACGAACAGGCCCCAGAGACCATGCAAATACATTTGCTACAACAGCAAGCGGTACTTGTGCGTGGCATCACATCCTTCTGCTCTCACAAACGCTGCAACTGGCACCCACTGCATGATTACTGCAAGCCGCGCACGATCATAAAGCACTCACGCACTCTCCAGCCATCACCCTCTCCAAGCCATGTATCTAATCTACTTGACGCGCGATACAAACTTGTACTGGCTCAATTGTCGCAGAGCTCCCTTCTGAACCATCGCTCGAATAGCTCGCTGAATAGCATTAGGATTGTACCCCTGAGCTTCCAAACGACTATACAAAGCACTCGTCTCCACGCGCGTTCCAATCCGCAGCGTCCGGTAAATACTCTGCTCCACCTCGTGCGCTTTCTCATGGAAGCTGCCGAAAAGTCCCTGCGTCCCGCCGTCCTTGGCAGCGTTCATTGTACTCACGCTAAACAGACGAATCGCCTCCTGCACGTGCTCCCGCGTAGCTTCATTCAGCAACCGCATCTTTGCCAGCGACTCAGAAATCCGGACAAGAGCTTCAAGTTGACGGACCGTCACTGGGATCGTCGTTTCCCCGCCCTGTGTTCGTCGGACGTCGTCTCGTACCCCCACATAAAAGTCCTGCAGCGTCTGTGCGGCTCCGACCGATAGACGGGGCGCACACCGCGTCCGACAGTAGGTGAAGTATTTCTTAAGTAACCACGGATCAATCTCATTCTTCGAGCCAGTCGTTGTTGCCTTCTCATTGGCCGACGAGACGCCAGTGGCGGACGCGAAAGCGTTCGAGTGCATTCGAACAACGTGCGCCGCCATCTGCCGGTCCCTCGTATCGTCCTGGATGTCCCGCACAATGAAAATCATGTCGAAACGACTCAAAATCGTGCTCATGAGGTCGATATTTTCAGACGCGGAGCGCATGTCGTCGTACCGACCAAACACGGGGTTGGCAGCTGCCAAGACGCTGGCTCGCGAGTTCAAGATCGTGGTAATCCCTGCTTTGGCAATCGAAATCGTCTGCTGTTCCATCGCTTCGTGGATCGCGACCCGATCGGATTCTCGCATTTTATCAAACTCGTCAATGCACACGACACCGCCATCCGCGAGGACCATGGCGCCTCCTTCGAGGTAGAACTCGCCTTTGGCATCGCGGATCACCGACGCTGTTAACCCGGCGGCGCTACTGCCTTTACCGGATGTGTAGACTCCAACGGGAGCGATTTTTTCGGTAAATTTCAGAAATTGTGATTTTGCGGTACTCGGGTCGCCCAATAAGAGCACGTTGATGTCCCCCCGTAAGATCATACCATCTGGTAATCGTTTCCGTGACCCCCCCACGAGTAAACACGCGATGGCTTTTTTCATGTTGACGGTATAGTCGCCGTAAATTGATGGCGCAATACTGGCGGCGAGTTTCTCATAAACATATGGATCTCGCGCCATTTCGTGGAATTTCTCTTCTTCCGCGGGGGAAAACGTTGCTTTGGCTCGTCCAGCCCCTTCTTCGTCAATTTCAAGACCCACGACACGCAGATAGAGCGTGCGAATTGCAACAGCGCCGATGTTTTTGCTTCCCGCATTGATGACGGACGTGATGCCTACAACCGACACGCGCGTGCCAGGCGATGCCCTGTCAACCAAATGGCGATCAGCAATCAACGCCAAGTTGCGCGGCATTTCACCGGTCGGAACGACTTCGGGATTCTCCTGCAACTTGAGCGTCTGCTGGTCGACGTAATCACCTTTGTCCGGCAAGACTGAATACGAATCATTCGGACACCTTTCACCGGGCGTTGCCGCATTCTCGTCGTCTCGATTGCGGTCACACGAGCGGGGGATACTCACGCCACCCATTCCTGAAGCAGCAACTCGCTTCGTGTGGCCACAGTTGCGACAACGAAGTGTTGCGGAAACGCACTTAGTGCGCACTCGTGTCGCGCTGATTACGATACCGGGAACTTTCACCAGCCGATTGATTTCCTGGGCATGCACATGCCGAAGAGGTACTAGGGCTTGGTCACTGCTAAGAATAGCTTGGATGTCAGGCAAGTTGCTCTTTACGGCTGAAGTTGCATCTGATGATGACGAATCACCCATTGCGGCAACCGACGACTCTTGGGAGGAAACGAGCAGTTGCGCCAACATTTCCTTTGCTGCACTTTCTAGAAGGGGCAGTTGCTCTTTGGGGCTCTTGAGCAGCAGATCTTGTAGCTCCTGGTCGAAAGCTACGACGTGAGACAAATGCACCGTCACAAACCAGTGGTGGCGACGGGCGTTGGCCAACAGCTGCTCACGGTAGTAGAACAAAGGACCGACACGGAACCCACGCAGAAACGACAATAGACGACGCTGAAGAGCTGCTGGACTTGACGTTTGTCGGGCGTCGGAGGTCTGGGCGGTTTCCATGCCCACCGAAGAGATGCGACCCGCATCCCAGTCCATAATTGCTTGCTGTCTAGTTTTGCCGCGAGGAGAGTGGAGGAAAGATGATGTGCACATCAAGTACACGTAAAAATAGGATACAGCCTGGTTGTGTGACAGCACACATCGATAGACAACCAGTGCGTCTGTGTATGTTGAAGTGGTGGAGCCAATCAGATATCGTCTAGTGATCTATCTTCTAGTCTTTCCTGTGAAACACGACAATTGATCATGATCCACAACCAAAGTTAGTAGTCGTAGTAGCTTTTGTTGTCGCTGCAAACACCATGAGCTGGAATACTCTTTCACGGTGTTTGCCAGTACGATAGGTAGTAGTTGTCGACGTTGCTTCATCGTGACCTTAAAGATCTAGAACTGGTACTTTAAAAATAGCCTAGGCACTAGCAACTTCAGCATATTTTGTAATATTGATGCTCGGCTTGTGTAAAATTCTCGCACTTTCAGTCCTGGCTAGCTGATTGGATGCGTTTAAACATCCCTACTAGGATCGACGGGACTTGAGTACGCAGCCAGCCTTAGGGCGTTGGTCTTCACGAACGAAGAAAGTAGCCATTTGCCCTTCTGGTGGCCACGACAACGTCGGCCACAGCTTCTTCATGGAGGTGTCTTCTGCATTGGTATTTGGCGAAAATCTTAGCTTTACAAGATATGATACCTTTCACTTTGAATGACACCAATTAATGTTGTAAGAAGCGTGGACGTAGCCAAATTATCGACTCGAAGACCAGTTATAAATCTGCGGTCTCGTGCTGTCGATGTGATCGTTCCAGTTCAATCTCCTGTTTCCATCGTCTCTGTGTCATTCACACTTGAAGGATAGTACCGGTGAAGTCCTGGAGCCGCACTTATATCGCGCAGGCCAAACAAATGCTACACGGAAAACTGTACGTTAGCGGACTTGGCTATGTATTATTCAGGTGTCGCTCGGTGGCGATGTAGGATGTCAAAGCATGCTTTGTACAGGTTCATGGCAACAATTCTTGGCAGAAAGCACTTAACCACTGTGCACACGGTAAAACATAAGATGAGTTATGTGTGCAGCGAAGGTAGCAGTCAGGTCTCCGTCCGAGTTAATTTTATAGAGGTAATGCAACCTCCGACTCTATAGGAACAGCGTGTACAAGCTGCAATGTGAGGCTTGGTGTCGGGCATTTGGGGTGTTCTCGAGATTGGCCACCTCTAGCAGATCGCAACTGATGCGCATAAAAGCATCAGCTGACGAGTTAGTGTACAATCGATAGAAACGGTTGCCAATAAAAGCGATTGTAAGTTGCAAAGGCCTAGCTCGACATCGTTCCTCGCCATGAATCTATAGATTTCTATCATAGAAGCTATGCGTACCGCTACGACATCAGAGAAATGTTGAGCCTTGGATCTGCACATGACGTTGCAAAGTCTGGACTGCGTTGTATGCAAGCCAGTACGTCGACGATGTATACGTTGATGTCAAAGCGTATCATGTGCGCACCCACTCCCCTATAATCTAGAAGAGCGATCAATCGATAACGCAGAAAACAAGTGTACGAGACAAGAACGTGTATGCTACTAGTGGCGATGTAACTGTTGATACGTTCGAAGGCGTCATCATCAAGGTATGCAAACGCAGATCTACTGTTATTCACTAACTTGTTGAAGTTCAACGATGCGGCACATGACAAAATCGACACGGCAACAGCTACGACTTCGCAAAATGTCGATAATTAAGTTAAATTGGACAGATTCCTTGGTACAGTGGCAAGGCGAGACATCGCAGGCCGCCGCATTAGCAATGTACTTCTTTGCTGTTTGATACTTCCATTGATCCGTTTATCTGCAATGCTCGATCTGAAAATGGAGTCTAAATGCTGCGGAAGGATCTACTACCATGAAATTGCCTTGTTCTCGTCTGACCCAGTCCGCAAACCGCACTTTATCCGCGCATCACGCCGCATCATGATTGGCTTATAATGATGTCGACTCCTCTCCCCTTTCAGTCCACATTTCACTTGCTCGACCCTCCCCCATATCCCGAATAATGGCTGCGAAGTACCAGATCGTCCTCATCCGCCATGGCGAGAGCCAATGGAACGTGGACAACAAGTTCACGGGCTGGCACGACGTGCCTCTGTCTGTTAAGGGCGAGCACGAGTCGCACGATGCAGGCAAAGTGCTCAGAGAGGCGGGGTTTAAGTTCGATTTGGCGTACACTTCCGTACTTAAGCGCGCCATCAAGACGCTGTGGAACATTTTAGAGGAGACGGACCTCATGTGGATCCCCGTGGTGCGATCGTGGCGACTCAATGAGCGCCACTACGGCGCACTTACGGGCTTGAACAAGCAAGAGACAGTGGACCAGCACGGCCTCGAGAAGGTCATGGTCTGGCGTCGCAGCTACGCCACGCCCCCGCCGCCGCTCGAGGCCGACAGTGAGTACTACCCGGGCAACGACCCTAAGTACGCAGACGTACCTAAGGAGCTCTTGCCCTTTGCCGAGTCGCTCGCTACGACAGGCGACCGCGTCCTCCCGTACTGGGAACAGACCATCATTCCTTCCATTAAAGACGGCAAGAAGGTTGTCATTGCGGCTCACGGCAACTCGCTGCGAGCGCTCGTGAAACATCTGGATCAGATCCCAGAGGACGCGATCACGGGCCTTAACATCCCCACGGGCGTCCCGCTCGTCTACGAGTTGGACGAGCACTTTCGACCCGTGCCGCACCAAGACGCCATTGCCCCGTTGGCTGGACGCTACATTGGCAACCAGGACGAGATCAAGGCGCGTATTGCAGGCGTTGCGAACCAGACCAAGGCGTGAGCAAGAGGTGCTTGTGCGGCACCCGCTAAGTCCTTTGTTTTGCTTCGATGTATCCTTTTCTTCGGTCTGTGTGCAGCGTAGAGGCAACGCATGAAGAACTCTTTCCAGGACTATTCCAAGTGTTGCCAATGCAAGACTACAGGTCACTAAAAGCAACAGATTTAAGTCCTTTTTATGCCATTCAGTCGGACTATTTAGCTGAGCAACCTAAAAGTTACCGAGAAGTGCGGGAACCGAGCACAATCGTGTGTGTTGTTGTATCACTAAAATCGGTATTTGTCAGTACGCGTATCGCCCGTGAGGTTGTTGACTTAGATGGAGAAGAAGCTGGTGATAGGCTAATCTGAGGTCAAGATGCGACCTGACGCTTTGGATGATAGGTTGAAAGAAATGAAATGCGTAATGGATGCTTTAAGCACTCGACGGTTGCTCATGCATGTGTGAAAAATGTTTATGAGTGGACAGTGTTTCCTCTTAATCAGAGAATGTGCAGAATTTGTGTGAGGATATGTAAGTTAATGAACACTCTTAAAATGACAGCCACACTAGCTGATTAGAAGTTCTAACGAGCCTTTGCCATTTCAACTGCTCTATCACCCCGTTCAGCTGGTGCACTAAAAATGAGCGAGTGCGTTTTTTTACTGAGTTCCCTTCGTCGTGTATTCTAAGTTCGACACCTTACGAGATTGGATGGTGCACAAATTGATGTGTACTAATTTAAAGAACAAGATTGCGGCGGTACTACATCTGGGAAAACTCAAGAATAAAGACACGGCACGATTGCGTATTCGAAGACCGTCATTTAGTCGGTGGTCGCTACAAAATAAGGTGGGCTTGATCTGGATGATGACTCGCCAAATCTATCGGTCTCGCACCAATATTTAGCTTTAGATGGAATTTACCACCTACTTTGCGCTGCATTCTCGTACAACGCGACTCAAAGAAAACGGGTCGTACACATAAGCTACACAAGTATGAACGGGAGTTTCACCCTCCATGCTCTCCTTTTTAAAGGAACTAATCTCAAGTGCCTACACTGACCACGCTTCTATAGACTACAGTTCGCCGCACATAGTAGCTTCTCACCTTCAAATCTTCACAGTCGAGGCTGAGCCGGCCATATCCGCAGCTCCATATAGAGTAGTCCCTCCGACGGGTGAGAGCTCTTGTAATACAGGCTTACACAGGCTTGTTAAAGTTAGATACCATCCATCCCTACACCACGTCTCTCATACCATTGAAAAGACCACACCGAAAAACTCCAACGACGGTACTTCGTTTATACTACACATATTTATTCAGACCATCCTCTACGTCGACATGTAGACAGACGAACTAGTAGACACAATCCACGTGTATTTTCTCACCCTCTAGGCATGCTTGAGTGCCTTAATATTTATTCTTTATTAAGCCTGTTGTGGACAGCGTTGCACGAGCATGGCAGATTAAATTCTTTAATCTCACTTTCCTTAATGCTTTCACCTTTTTAATTACCGTTTAGTTGTTGTGTGATAATCTTTCGGCAGTGTCAGCTCGTTAAGCGAGTGTCAAGCGTCTTCAACCGAATAATAGCTTGTCTGAGATCTGGTAAATGCCTTCTATAATTCTTAAAGTGTAGGAGGTCAGAAGTATGATAGCATTGGTGGAATGAGATGGAATGGACATTGTTTCTGACATGTACAAAAAATCAAATTGATTATTTGAGCAGTTTCAAATTCATATTATTGTTTAATGTACGGGGTGAAGGCTCATGAGCGAAAAGTGTAGGCTCATCAGCGGCTTCTACCTTCAAAAGCATTCAATCGTTGTCGATAGATGCATCAGAAACGACTCTGTAAAAAGTGCAGTCACAAATGAAAACATTTAAAGCTTTGATAAGCAATAGTGATCTGTTTTAAGTCGAACTCATCCCACTCCACTACTTATCGCCATCAATGAGGCATTCTCGAACGGGCAAAATCGAAACCATATCGCAATGAAGCCACATTAGAAATAATCTTTTCTTAAAATTGACGCTTAAGAGTTGCTTGATCATCTATGCGGTCTTATACTGCAACTTGAGCACACAGGGGAAGAACACCACCATAGTTGGTGGCATACCCTAGCCACGCATCACTATACCGGGTACGGATTACTCCAATTATACTATACACCGATTGTTGTGTTTCGTCGCTACTCTAGAGGCTACCAAATAAATATACCTTGTACGACCGTCTCAATAACCCCCCAAAAAAATTACGAGCCAATTTCGTAATCGAGCTGCTTTTCTTCAGGCAGCATATTTTTATAATGTAAAGTTTTGTGCATGAAGAACTTTCCTGACCAAGTCAGATTGCGCTGGTTTAGTAAGGCAATGCATCTAACAAACGTATATGCTTCGATTTTCCCGTCCGCTCTGACATTTCAGAGAAGTGTATTGGTCACACCTTTTTCTATCAAACCCACACCCTTGCCGCTAAGAAGAACATAAAAATCAGTGTTTACAAAGGCAAACATTGCAAAACCAGCATCAATATTACCGATAATCTCGGGGTGCACAACATTTGTTATAATCCTGTGACTAGTTAGTCTGAGTCTCTAGGTACCTAGAACTTACTTGACATGGTAAAAGAGACTATTGAAGCGTTGAGATGTCCGAAGAAGGGAAAAGGATCGACTTAGGCGCGGTTTAAATTGACACTGTACTGGTCCGTAGATAGACACAACCGACCAGGGTTGCCGTGGCGATAATTACAGAAAAACAATGTTTTAGCCGGAACCGGCAGTACAAGGTGAAGAATGGCGGAGGCAACAGCAAGAAGTTTGCTTAATCACAGGATGGATTCATGTGGGCTATTTGCGTGATGAAGCAAGCGCGATGAAATTCATCTTTAGAGCACTCTATTGCGATACTAAAGGTAAACCACGCCGATGTATGCACGGCCATCGCCAAACAATCGGCACGACAAAGATGGCTGCCACGTTTCAGTTAGCTGTTCCAAAAAGACGATAAAATTAAGCGTCGGGAGGTTGTGGCGCTCGCAAGATCTTAAAAAACAATCTACGCCACTATGGCGAGAAGCTTTACGGATGAAAGAAGCTATTACCAAAGAAATGGACGTGCAATGCCAATCATCTCTCTCACTCCTTGCTCAAAACCTAGTTAAATTGAGGCGCGCCAATCAAGCCAGCACTTCTACACTGATAAAAAATCATTGCAATCGCTTCCTACCATTTTATGTGGCCTTCGGTGCATCTATTAGTGTGCACTGGTTTGTATGTGTCGGTGGTAGCCTTTAATGGCACGCATCCGTGCCATGGCAAGTATAAGAGCACAATAATTTTACTAGCTGGACGAGACAAAACGTCAAGGCTTCACGCTTGCCACGGAGATCGTGCACGTGATGAACGAGGACAACAAAGCATAATTTATTCTCCAATGTAATCACGCCGGAGTTGACCTTAGTTTCTTTTATGTCGCAGTCATGTGTGAATGTAGACACATTCAAGGAGATGAATGTCACTACGGTTGAGGAAGGGAATAGGTGCTCAAACTCGGTCTTGTACAATCTACATTACGCGCAACATCACGCAAAGTTTGGATTTTCAAGAACACAGATCGAGATACCGTGTGGCAATTTCGTTCCGCAGATACTGACAACGACTAAACGCAAAGCTCAAAAATATGCAGAACGAGCTAGATTAAGATCGACCCGATTTTTGGATCATGCGTGCCAATTTGTACGTAAATGCTGGTAATTCAGGTACAAACTCGAGCACAAACACGATCTCAGACACGAGTAAGATCGCAAGGACACGCCAGTAATTTGTTTTCCACTGATAACGCCATGTCCGCTTTTTGAGTGCCGCACGACCAAAATTGTAAAGAGAGACATAGAATCTTACTAGTAAGTAATTTGCGATGCAGCCCCCTCAGGGCAATCCAAATTCAAATTAGTTCTTTGAATCAGATCAGTATCACATCAAGAAGCGGAAAAGCACAAAAGCTTACATCTACTCTTTATCCGCGGTCACTTTGGATATCCGCGCAGGCTGACGCGGTGGGCAATGAAGTGTCTTGATCGTCGCGTTGGATTTGGGGTGCCTCGAGACAAAATTTTTACAAAATCGGCGCGTTGAGTCGAAGTTTTAAAATGCTCACGCCTAATCTTCTCTCCTGTGAGATTGAAGTGCCGCCACCTTACTGTTGTTCTGTGCTGTGGGAGGTCAACAACCTATACGACATCCAAATTACTTGTTGAAGAACATTTAAACACTGATTTGTGAGAAAGGCATCAGAAGTGGCTGTGAGCACAAGAACCCCTCCGGTATATATCTACTCTTCATCGTACTTCAAGCAGACTGGATGCTAGCAAAAAAGAAGGGTCGGGACTACAGAAGACACAAGTTCCTAAAAATCTTTCAATGGAATCCGCTTTAACACGCAATTAGGGGACAACTGGAAAGAATGTCACTGCCATGCGAGCTTTGTTCTACAAAAACTAAGACGTAGCGCTCAGCAGTTTGATAAATCTTGCCTTTTATTAAATGGCACGTACGTAGTGCTCACATGATACGGTATTGTTTACCGCCGTTGATTTACCACTGTCAAGAAGAACGCATATCACGGTCCAAATAGAACTGATTCTACATATTTTTATAGTTTGATAGATTCGTACACAAATCTTTCAGTTGTTAAGGTTGAAAGCGTTATTAAAGTTAGCCAGTAAATTTTAGATAGATCTTCCCAGTACTATTTTCTTTACCAGCGAGATTTTTCACTACAAGACCTGTATCTCATCTAGTACTAATACCTCCCAACATTGTGTGGATCTGAACTAAAATACACTACACTCACGATAACTACTCTACAAATAATTTAGACCACATAACTCTACAGCAATCGAATGGCGCTCGAGAATTCTCTATGCGTGTACACATTGGTGTTGCAAGTGTTGATATAACAAAGCTACGCATGAATGCTATTTACTGATTAACGTCAAGTCTTGAGATTCCTTTTC